CCTCTGTGTTTGACCCAGACAGACCATATGAACCTGATCTTCATGTAGCCGTCCCACAATATCATAAACCTGACTCGCTTAGATCATGCCCTTCAGGACTTAAGTCCAAACAGGGCATCTATGCACAGTTGACAGATACCTTGTTTGTATGGGGAACCTGGCATGAATGTGGTTTTGATATAGGACACACAATAACCAACACAGAATATAACCCCATTGTGCATGACTGGTCTCGTTATTGGAAGGAGTCTGAGGAGACTGTCATTAATTATTTCAGTGCTTCCTATCCGGGGGGGCTTCAGGCCCCCAGCTACTCTCTCACTGGGACTCCTCTTGTCCAAAGCCAGCTTTGGAAATTGATTGCTGCCGCACGTCCCTTACGTGTTATGAAACGCTATCAGGGATGTCTTATCAACAGCCGAGAAATTGCTGTTGAGGCCTGTGTGCACTCCCCTTTTTCTCTACTTGTTGATCTCTTCCCTTTCAATCTTACGATACGTCCTTTTGAAGGAGGATATAAACTTTCTTGCTCTACCTGTTTTCTCACTAACTGCCTTAATAGTTCTCTATCCATGCCTTTACGTGTTTTTGTACTACATAAACCTCCTTTTGTGATAATTCCAGTTTCTCTTCCAGACCCATGGGAGGCCTCCACGCCTATAGGCCTCCTTTCCGTGCTACGAGATACACTGACCCGATCCAAACGCTTCGTGGGACTTGTTATAGCTGGCATCGCTGCTGTTATCACTCTCTTGGCTTCTGCATCCCTCAGCGTTGTGAGTCTAATGGAAACCCAGCGCTCTGGTTCCTATGTAAATGAGTTTGCCATAAACATGACTTCTACTTTACTGCTACAAGAACAAGTGAACCACCAGTTGATCACCCGATTGGACTCTTTGGAAGAGGCTGTCATGTATTTAGGAGATCAAGTGTTACGCCTGAAACATCAGTTGTCCCTGTCATGTCACCCCGGGTATCCTGCGATTTGTGTTACTCCTGCCGCTTATAATGAATCTGAAATATCGTGGAAATCTATACAATTGCACCTTATGGGACTTTGGAATGATTCTCAGTTAACTTTTGATGTTTCTGCTTTACATAAAAAGATTATATCTATTGCCCAGGCCCGTGCCTCCTTTAGTAATACATCATGGCAAGTGAATGATATTAATACTATATTGCGAGATTGGGTTTCTGCTTCCCCTTGGCATGATT